TGCTTTTGCAAATATAGATGTTGCATAAATCAATATGTTGCTGTATTTATTAAACATACAAGCTCTTCTTGCGTATGTTTTGGTGCCTCATCCAAACACAAGCAGTACCTAGCTAAACCAGTTGGGACACATTTCCCAGAATATCTAGTAAGCAAAGCCATGCCAAAGAATGAGATTGAAGAAGTCTGTTCTAGTCCATTTCAGTGAGGTCTTACACTATACCTAAGGTGTACAACGTATATGGGGATTTCCTTTAAAATGCAACAGAAGATCATACAATGCATATATGAGAATGGCATGTGATAACTTGCAACATAATGATTGACAAGTTCTTTAAATGTTTCTTCCTCTACTTGCCTTGTATTGTTCGGCCCTTTGTTTGTTAACAAATTATGAAGGTTTTTCCTAAAGCTCATAATAATTAATCACTCTTCTCCCTTTTTCCTGCAAGCAGATAGTGTTTTTGTTACTGGCTGAATAAACATGGAGATTCAGGCGCTAGCTTGAAAGGTTTTCTTTAAAGGTCTTTATTTGGCTGCAGCCTGCATTTTTTTTTAATGATTGCTGTTGTTGTGACAATGCTTAGGGGAATCTCAAGTTGAGAAGCCCTTTCTGTTCCTCTGCATTCATAAATCTCTTCCTCCCTCTGGTATTTTAATAAATCTTTATTTATTTTTCCCCCCTCAGATGCTGATGGACCTCCAGTTAGATGTTTCCTTCTAGACTTCATACTGTCATTTGTTTGGTAGCAGAATACAAAGTAGTCATCGTGGGCGGACAAGGAAAGCTCTGGGCACCGGGTTTTGGACTGGACTGCCAAGTCAGCGTGATCTCTTTTGCTTTTCAATAGTTGGGCAACCATGGAGACTCTGTCCCAGGACATTCTGCTGGAGTGTCAGATTTGTTTCAATTACTACAGCCCACGGAGGAGACCCAAGTTACTGGACTGTAAGCATACTTGTTGTTCCGTTTGCCTTCAGCAGATGAGGACCAGCCAGAAGGACCTGAGGTGTCCATGGTGCCGAGGTGTCACTAAACTCCCACCTGGGTTCTCTGTCTCCCAGTTGCCAGATGATCCGGAGGTCGTTGCCGTGATTGCAATACCCCACACTTCAGAGCACACTCCAGTCTTCATCAAACTTCCCAGCAATGGGTGTTACATGTTGCCCTTGCCCATCTCCAAAGAGAGGTCTCTATTGCCTGGAGACATTGGCTGTCGTCTCTTGCCAAGCAGCCAACAGAAGTCTCTCACTGTGGTCACGATCCCAGCCGAGCAACAACCACTGCAGGCTGGGGTGCCGCAGGTTACAGGAGATGAGGAGCAAGACCAGAGGGGCATTGTGAAGAGCTCCACCTGGTCAGGGGTTTGCACTGTCATCCTGGTGGCCTGTGTCCTAGTTTTTCTTCTTGGTATTGTCCTCCACAACATGTCATGCATCTCCAAACGTTTCACTGTGATCTCCTGCGGCTGAAAGGAGGCTGCAGCAAGCTCCTCTCGTGAGCTAGATTTAGGGGTTTGGGAGGGTGGTATTGATGGTGACGGGAGGCCAGGGGGTGAAATGCTGTCACATGGACAGAATCATTGATGCCATGGAAGCTGATTGACAGTCCAGAGTCTGCTGTAAAAAGTAGGACAGCAAGACCCGTTGATAGAGTGTGAGGCATATCCGGTGCTTCTCTGCTGGTGACGATTTCAAAGAAGACTGCATGCATACTCACTTAGCAAATGATCTGTAATCTATAATGATTTCATCATGTTATGAGATTAAAGATGTCTATTTAGCTGGTTCTACTGTACAGGTCATGATCTCTCTCCCTTTCTTTCTCTCTGTCTCTTCAGAGTAGTTGATTTACAAATGAAAATGCTGTATGTTCAAGTAGAATTAAACATTGGAATGAAGACCGTCAATCTACCCAGTGTTCTCCAGACATAGCAAAAATGTAGTTCTCTTTATTTTCCAATAGCCACAGGGAAAATTATGAAATGTAATCATTTAGGCCATGAGGACTTTTTTTTGTATCTTTCAAATTGCACATTCATGAAAGTGGTTTTCAAAATTTGTCCCACAGGTATCGAAAGGGAACATTTTTTTAAAGTATTGAAAATCTTCTAGATGTAATATATGTGTATGTTTATGCTCATTCTATTTTCTTCTGTAGTTTAAATGATTTTGTTTGTTTGTTTTTTAAAAAAATTGAAATGAGACCATAAGCATAAAAGCAATAAAGGAAGCTAGGAAGGAAATCTAGATGTCTGGCCAAAGTGATTGTCTCTTGTGTTCTTCTGTCAAACACCACTTGAATATGTAAGTTCTCATGGTACTTCACATGCATACTGTATACTGGTCATATGATTCAGAAATAGCAGAGGTCATGTTATCCGAGAGAGAATACGTTTACCGAAATGGCAGAATCAATGGTTTTTATTAAAATTTCTTATCCTCCAGAATGCAAGTTGAAGTTCAAAGGAGACATAACGTAATAGCTATGTTTGTAGATGCTTATTTATTATTGCAGCTGTGAGATATTGGTGGGCATCATGACTGTGATGCAAAATAGATAAACCTATATTGTGCTGTCCCCTGTAATGAAAGGCTTTTCCAGTGTGAAAATGTTGCCATAATAAAAATAGATAAGAGGGCAAAATAAGGGCATAGTAGTCAAATGATAATTCAACTGAAGTTAAAACCATGTAGGCCAAGCTCCTTCCTTATTTAAATGTTCATATTGACGAGTATTACAGGATGAATTGTCTTCTACGGATATTGAACAACTTTGTCCATAATCAGGAAAGGGTTTGTGTTTATAGCAGGGAAGGAAAATCTGAAACTAGTGACTCCCATAAGAAGCTTTGGTTATTATATTGAGGGAAAAGCATGAAACCTGTATTGGTGGCAGTTTAGCTGCTGAATCATGCCATCTGGAACCAATGACTGCAGTTTATCATGTGCTCAAAGAACCTCTACTAACTTGACCATTTTTTCAGGAAACGTTCATTATCTCAAGATGTTCAAAAAAAGGCATGTTACTTTTATAGTGTAATAATTCCAACTGAGGCACAACAGAGACAAGTTGGAAAGCTGCCAGAGAAAAAGGCTACTTAACTAAGGGACTGAGGGCTTGGAGCTCCAAAAGAGACAAGAGGTGAGACATCACAAAATAAAAAATGGAGGTGCTTTTATTCCTCGCCTTAACCTCCATTTTTGTCTATCATGTAGTAAGCTTTTAACACATTTCGCATTTTCTTCAGGTTAGTGTAAGGACTGGACATAGCCAGGGGTGTGATTCAACCGCTGTAACAACTGGTTTGGTGAGCATGTGCTTTGTGCGCGCACAGAGGGTTTGCTACTGACCACCTGGAATCCTGCAATCCCCCTGTGTGTTAAACAGCTGATGCGTGGCAATCCGTTGTGCCCGTTAATCAGCTGAGTTTGAAAATCAGGAAATAAAGGTCAGAATAGACCTGGGGCAGGTGGGCGGGTCCAACACCTAATCATGTGGTTGCTCACAGATGATCCTTGGAGCTACCGGTTTGGCCTAATCAGGCCGGACCGGTAGAATCCCACCCCTGGACATAGCGATTTCTTCACTGATGATAGAAAGCATTAGGAAGAACTCTGTTTTTCACAATTTTCATTTCTCCATGATACATTCTTCACCTGATGGGCCCTCGTATCCCTCTCTACTTTTAATGGTGCCATGTCTTTGTATCATACCAAACTGTTGTCCAGTTTGGTATTTAAGTCGTTTACTTAGATAAATTTTTTGCCATAAATTAGAGATCGCTTGTTTCTTTCCCCTTTAACTTATGGCTAAACTAGAGGATCTGTAGGATTGTGGAATGCAACTCCTGTTAGGCTCTGTTGCTTCTTGCAAGTGAGTGGTAATATATCTGAAGGAGCAAGTGCTACCATAGCTTCAACAATGCCTGTGGTTAAACAAACACAAATTACATTCAAACAATTCAATGTATTCATTCATTATCCCAAGTCAAACATTATTCTGAATTCCAGAAGAAACAAAATCTCCCTGTTCCCTAAAAGTAATCATTATGGTAGGAAGATATTAAAGCATACTATTGACTTCTCAGCTTGATTCCTAAAACCTAATTATTAACATAGTATTGCATAGGGGGAGAGGGGAAACTCCTTTTGAAATATTTGCATTAAGTCAGTGGTCAGTTCCATATCATTTGATGATAACAAGACAAATTACTGGGTACGTGATAGGAAAAAACCCGAAGTTCTATCCTAGCTGAATGATTTTCACTACTATGAGTTATGAGTATGAGTTTATGTTCTGTAATAACTATTTTCTTTAGTAGAAATTTGAGAGGTGGACATAAAATAACAAGATCTAAGCAAGGTTATGTTTGGGATTTTGAAAGCATATGATGGAGATTTTCACAAGTAACTAATTATATTATAAAATATGATTATAAAACCCATTTACCATACAGAAAATGAGTAAATTTGCTTCTAGACTCTAAGAGTCCAGCTGACACCTCTAGGTTTTCCTAAGATGTTAGATGTTAGATCTGGAGGAACTTATTACTTGCTAGGAACTATGTTCTACCCTCTAGTTGAAGGAGACTTTGGCTAAGGTCTAAGAATTAAGGTTATAATACATTATAAAGAATGCCAAGAGTTACATAATTTTGGTGGGTTAAAACATCATAAATTGTGGAATACCATGTTCTACACTCCACAGGGGTCTCCTGTGAAAATTAATATGGAGGATGATTGAAGTTGCTCCCACATCTAGGAGAACAAGCTACAATTCCTATTATTCTGAGACTCACAGGCTAATTTGCTGAAAGTTTGCTCCCCAACAGGTGTGGCTGTCAGAAGGAGGCTGAGATGTTAAATTCCTATGTTGTGCTCAGGTAGATCTTGATGGCTCGCCTGATGTCTGATTTGTGCCAGTCCCCCTCTCTAATTGGACTTGGAACTAGATAAAAGGAAGGTAAGTAAGTTCACTTGCTGGCTGTAGTGAAAGGCTGAATTCATCTTATGACATTGGGTCAAGGCACAGAATGCCCCCAATTATAATATCCATCTAGCAATAGAAGTTGTAAAAAACGGAGTAGGTCATAGCTATTAGCAGTGCCTCTTTCTATGTCAGTTGCTGTAGGCTTGATTCATACAAGGATTACTTGGGATCTGCTCAGTAGGTGATAGATGGCCGTCAGAACCAGGTGATTTTTGTTGCCTTGATGGAATGAAGTAATCCTGGGTTGAGGGCTGAGGAAATCTGTGATAGAGCTGTATGATAGAAGTTTTATGTATTCATAAGAGAACAAATTTCATTTAGTCTCCCATTTACTTTAAAGTTGAGATGGGTCGCTGTTGTTGTATTTCTCTTTTTGTTGGTAAGAGAAGGCACATATTCTAGACTGAGTTTGAGTCTGGAGTGATTTGTTCAGACGGTTTTTGACTCCTCAGAATGATCTGTGTCCTGTCTGGTCTAAGGATATAAGACAAGTGTGGTAAAGATGAAAAGAATGGGAGATACAGCATGACATCTGCTGTCTTAATCTCTTATTTTTATTGATTGGGACAAGGCTTTCTTTTTGTCCTTGATTGTTAGTAGGACTTCATCTTGAGCCTCTCTGAACTTCTTGCCTTTGAATGAGCCTAATATTAGGCTCTGTTTGAATTTACGTTACAGATTTTGCAGCCATTGTTGCCTCTTCATGGTGACATTCATCACTGCATCCTTGGCTAAGAACCAGGTCTCCTGCTCAGTGCTGCAAGGTCTCTTATTTTCCTGTCATTTAGGTACTTTGGAGTGTCTTACCTGACTATTTATTATAGCCGTCTACAGCAGCAATCTAGGACTACTTAAGATAAAATATAGAGTTTTATTTTAGGGAAGAAGACAGAGAATACCTTTGCTATCCATAGATCTGTTAAAGAATATGTGGAAATGGAATATACTGTAGTTTGATTACTAAGGTTTTGATAAATTTTCATGAGAAGATGAAAGTCTGATTTTTGGAGGAATGGGACAACTCCTTGAGGTGGACTATTTGATTGGTCTTGAAATAGCACTATCCAAGTTATATATCTATAGATGTGGGGACTGCTAAAGATTGAATTTGTGAAAGATCTCTTTCTATGAAAGCACTTGTTGGACTGAAAGGAAGCAAAGTAGGAAGAGTATGGCTACTTTTGAAATTTAGTGTATCTGGGAAAGCCGAGGAAACCAACAAACCAAAATGCACCATTGAACAACAGTTCTTGTTTGAAGCACACATTATCCTCACTATCCTCATTCAGGCACCTTATGCAAAGACCCAACTTTCTGGAAAAGATTATAATGCTGGAAAAGTTGGAAAGAAAGAGAAGGAGAGGACAACCAACAGTCATGTGGATGGACTCAAAAGTGCCCATGGGTGTACCATTGGAAGACCTGAAGGACCAAGTAAGGGATAAATTGACATGGAGAAAATCTGTTCGATTACTAAGAGTCAGCAACAACTTGATGGCACATAGTCAGTCAGTCAGTCAATTGGAAGTTATCCTACTTCCCAAGAAAGGAACAAGGGAAGATCAAGGAAAAGAGAGTTTGAGTTAGAGCCGCATAATAGAATAAATTTGGCAATAATTCCCATAGTTATGATTATATTATTCCACTGTACTACACATTATTCTACAATGTACTGCCTTCACAATGTTCCTCTGCACATCTTTCTCATCCAGAGCATTCCACTGATGTAGACAGACATGAAAAGGGGACATACATACATACATACATACATACATACATACATACATACATATACACACACACACACACACACACACACACTGCTATATATATAGCAGTGCTATATATATACTGCTATACTGCTATATATATACACTGCTCAAAAAAATAAAGGGAACACTTAAACAACACAATGTAACTCCAAGTCAATGACACTTCTGTGAAATCAAACTGTCCACTTAGGTAGCAACACTGATTGACAATTTCACAAGCTGTTGTGCAAATGGAATAGACAAAAGGTGGAAAGCATAGGCAGGTAGCAAGACATCCCCAACAAAGGAGTGGTTCTGCAGGTGGTGACCACAGACCACTTCTCAGTTCCTATGCTTTCTGGCTGATGGTTTGGTCACTTTTGAATGCTGCCAGTGCTTTCACTCTAGTGGTATCATGAGACGGAGTGTACAACCCACACAACTGGCTCCGGTAGTGCAACTCATTCAGGATGGCACATCAATGAGAGCTGTGGCAAGAAGGTTTGCTGTGTGTGTCAGCATAGTGTCCAGAGCATGGAGGCACTACCAGGAGACAGGCCAGTACATCAGGAGACGTGGAGGAGGTCGTAGGAGGGAAACAACCCAGCACCAGGACCGCTACCTCCGCCTTTGTGCAAGGAGGGACAGGAGAAGCACTGCCAGAGCCCTGCAAAATGACTTCCAGCGGGCTGCAAATGTGCATGTGGCTGCTCAAACGGTCAGAAACAGACTCCATGAGGGTGGTATGAGGGCCTGACATCCACAGGTGGGGGTTGTGCTTACAGCTCAACACTGTGTAAGATGTTTGGCATTTGCCAGAGAAACACTAAGTTTGGCAATTTTGCCATTGGCTCCCTGTGCTCTTCACAGATGAAAGCAGGTTCACACTGAGCAGACGTGACAGGGTCTGGAGACACCATGGAGAACGTTCTGCTGCCTGCAACATCCTTCAGCATGACCAGTTTGGCAGTGGGTCAGTAATGGTGTGGGGTGGCATTTCTTTAGGGGGTCGCACAGCCCTTCATGTGCTCACCAGAGATAGCCTGACTGCCATTAGGTACCGAGATGAGATCCACAGACCCCTTGTGAGACCATATGCTGGTGTGGTTGGCCCTGGGTTCCTCCTAATGCACAACAATGCTAGACCTCATGTGGCTGGAGTGTGTCAGCAGTTCCTGAAAGACGAAGGTGCTATGGATTCTATGGACTGGCCCACCCGTTCCCCTGACCTGAATCCAATTGAGCACATCTGGGACATCAAGTCTCGTTCCATCCACCAACACCATGTTGCACCACAGACTGTCCAGGAGTTGGGGGATGCTTTAGTCCAGGTGTGGGAAGAGATCCCTCAGGAGACCATCTGCCACCTCATCAGGAGCATGCCCAGGCATTGTAGGGAGGTCATACAGGCACGTGGAGGCCCCACACACTACTGAGCCTCATTTTGACTTGTTTTAAGGACATTACATCAAAGTTGGATCAGCCTGTAGTGTTTTTTTCCACTTTGATTTTGAGTGTAACTCCAAATCCAGACCTCCATGGGTTGCTAAATTTGATTTCCATTGATAATTTTTGTGTGATTTTGTTTTCAGCACATTCAACTATGTAATGAACAAAGTATTTAATAAGAATATTTCATTCGTTCAGATCTAGGAGGTCTTATTTTTGTGTTCCCTTTATTTTTTTTGAGCAGTGTATATTGGTCACTGAGCAGATCCGATTGGAAGAGCCCAAGAAGACAAAGAGTTCAGAAGCATGGTCTTGTGCATTACAGCCTGCACAAAAGACCGTTTTTCCTAACTGGTTCCCTTTATATGTGTTAGGATGGAAATTTGGGGAGTTGTTATCTGGAGACAATTAACCTTAAAAAAAGATCTAAAATGTACAGTATTGGCTTTGGTAGGGTTTTCAGGAGGCAGAATCTAATGCAATTAATAGATATCAGAAATTGAAAAGTTAATGAACTATGTCCCTATGGAGATGCATGTAAACTCATATTCCTAATTCATAAAGTGCCATTATGCATCGTGTGGTTCATTTTGAACTGCTAATAACAGGTTGAAAGATAAATAATAAGATAATCTTAATGCTTCTGCTTGTCTACTTATTAGACTCAGGGCTGGGCTGGATAGGAAACAATTATAATTATTTACTATATTTATTATAATTACTATTTACCCTTCATTTTTAAGAATTTAACCAAAGAACACAACATATAATAAATCCTGTTAAGATATATGTAGTACATCTTTAACAATCAAAGTGTGTTGATTGCAGCTCAACTGCTGAAAATTAAAATAAGTGAAGAGAATAAAATTAAGGGAAATTTAACTTCTATCCATAACTTAGATTGAAAGACAGAATGAGTAGTGAGCATTCTATTTATTTTTAACTGGATTTTGGCAACCATGCTTGTTTTATATCTCATGTATGAAATTATCCACATATACTAAGCGCTTGTGGATATCAAATAATACATTCTACCTTGACAGCTTTGGCCTTCCTCTAAAGTTTGGATGGAAAAGGAATATGTCTCGCTTGTAACTATGGTGCAGGTTCCCTGAAAGCACAACAGCCTTTGCGTTTAGGACTTGAGTGTTTGGCCAAGTTTGGCTTTGGTGTGAATCTGAAGAAAAAGGTTCTGAGACTGTTGTGAAAGAACCCAATATGAATCAGCTTCAGAGGTGAAACTAGGTACAGATAACACTCAACTTACAACTGTTCATTTAGTGACTGTTCAAAGTTCAAATGGCAATGAAAAAAGTGACTTATGACCGTTTTTTTCACAGTTATGATCTTTGAAGCACCCCCCCCCCCGATCATGTGATGAAAATTCACATAACAACCAGATTACTAAGCTATCAACTGCAGTGATTCACTTAAATTGTGGCAAGAAATGTCGTAAAATGGGGCAAAACTCAATAAGCGTCTCACTTAACAACAGAAATGTTGGGCTCAATTGTGGTCATAAGTGAAGGACTACTTGTATAGTTGCCCAAAGAGGCTATTGTTAACAAATGGATTTGGAAAGAAGAGATGTAGATGTAGGGTTATAAAGTAAGAGTTGTGAGAACTGGCTTTGTGCTGGAATTCAAAGCAATATAATTAAATGTAACCTACTTAGGATATAATCCTAAGGATATAATTGTCCTCACCTTATGTATGAAATGCAGCTGGATTTACGGCCAGTCACTGTCTCTGCTCAATTCACCTTACAGGTTGTTATTATGGAGAAAATTGGAGGAAGAAGTAATATTAGATATGTTTGCCTCCTTGAGTGGTTTATAAAAATAAGACGAGATTTAAAAATACCTAAAAGGAAATTCAAATCAAAATGATACCTTCCCTGAATTTTTAACCTTCCATTAATCCTGAGAGATTGTTTACCTCAGTGGTTCTCTAACATTGTATTTTAATTTCCACCAATCACTCAGTTAAGACACATTTGTCTGTGTGTATGAGAGAGAAAGAGAGATGGTGGCATTAATAGAGAAGTTGGCTCTCACTTTGCTTGTTGTTGTGGCACTCAGCCATTTTTCCATATTTGTCACCACCCTGGCCTACTCAGGTTGGCATGAAAAATGGCATTTAATAAGTTGCCAGAATCCTGCAAATTGTAATCTACACTTTGGGGAGAAAACCTGATTTATTCTTTTCCATGCAGTGCTCATTTTTCTGCTTCTGAGGAACTGGAGATCTAGCATCCCAAGGCTAGACATGTGGTATGCTTTTCCTGATAGAAGCGACAAACTTGTTGGATTTGTTTTTTGCTCATGTATCTGATGTTTGGGTGTGCTAATTGCTCACAAAGTCAGCACTACTTCAGCCATGGAATGGCTCAATTCTGCTTGCAACATCCAACTCCAGCTTTGATGCAAAATACAGCTGACTTCCTTATTTTCTTTCAGCAATACATACCAATAATAGAGTTAGAACTCTGCCAGTTTTAATCCTAGAAATGTAACGAATTGCTGGGCTGTTTCCATGTTAAGATCTGATAGCTCAACATAACACTGAGATTTATTAGTAGAATCGAGAGTCCATTGTGGTTTTTATCACATGAAAAAGAGGCATCCTCCTCCTCAAATAAAGCCTGCTTGGCTTGTCCTGTAGTAAGATAGCTTGTCATAGGGACAAGATGAAATAAATATTTGCTTGAGAAATGCATAGAAACTCTTGGTTACTCCACGCTTTTGTGAAGAGGCAATCGTACAATGACTTCAAAGAGCTGTTCCTTAGATAACATTTATCTACCTAAGAATCCGGGGCAGAACTACAGAAGATTTTTTAATAGATTAGTGACCTTTTCTTGATAGCCTCTCCCTCCCTCCCCTTTCTTGCTCATCTCTCAGCTTCCCTGTATCAACGCTCTGTGGCACAACAATAAATATTTGCAAGCCAGTATTGACTGTCAAGCACATTGTTTCATCCTTATTCAAAGC